CTTAAAATGAAAATAACACTCTTTGTAGAAGATAATTGTTGGTGACTCTTTAACATCTAAGAAGAGTACTAAGAATTATTTTTTAAAAAATGTTATTTTTACTTTATTTTATAACCATTTAAAAATATGTATTTCCCTTTTTTATAAAAAAAAAAAAAAATTTATATGAGAAAGTAAATGATGACATTATAAGGTAGCAAATAAAAATTAAAAATAGAGAAATGCAAAACTGATGTCAACAATAACATGATAGCATGTGTATGCCAATAGATGTTATGTAAGGTGATGAAATGCAATTTAAAAATGGTTTCTTAAATATAATGAAACCATATTGACTTTCCAACATTTAGGCAGAGCTTAGGTGCGACTATTTATATTTAAGATCTTATTTATTATTATATTTTTTTGTTTCAATCCCATTATTAATGCTAATTAAAGGCTTGTATAAAAAACTTAATGAAATAAAATTTTTTAAATACTTTATCATCTAGGTAGCATTCAAGAACAAATCACTTCATGTGAGATTTTCACACATATCCTTAGAATTTTTGAATGGTTTTGAGTAGGAGCTTAGGGTGCAATCTAAATATTTGCTGATTATTTGGGGTTATGTGTTGATTTTATGGTTTAAAGTTAGGTTAGGGTTTTGATGAATTTTTTATTTAGGGTCTCATTTTAAGGTTTTCAAATTTAAGGTTTTAGATTTTACGATTTAGTTTTGGGATTTGAGATTTAAGATTTTAAGTTTTGAGGTTTTAGGGTTTTAAGGATTTTATGGTTTGGAGGGTTTAAAGTTTAGTGATTTTACGGTTTTGAGTTTTGGGGTTTCGAAGTTATCGGTTTTAAGGTTTTGAAATTTAAGGTTTAGGGTTTCAATTTTTGGAATTTAGGGTTTTGAGGGTTTTGAGTTTCAAAATCTAGATTTTAAAGGCTTTTCAATTTTTGGATCTTAAGGTTTTGAAATTTAAGGTTTAGGGTTTCAATTGTTGGAATTTTGGTTTCTTCGTTTCGATTTTTGGAATTTAAGGTTTTAAAGTTTTGACTTTCAAATTTTGGATTTTTAGGGCTTTTCGAATTTTAGATCTTAAGGTTTTGAAATTTAAGGTTTCAAAGGCTTTAGGGTTTGGAGGGTTTCGATTTTAAGATTTTTGGTTTTAGGATTTAGCATTTTAAGGTTTCATTTTAGGGCTTAAAGTTTTGGGGTTTTGAATTTTACAACTTATGGTTTTGATTTTTTTGGAATTTAAGGTTTTGAGGGTTTTGGGTTTTGAAATTTGAATTTTAGGGTTTTTTTATTTTTGGATTTTAGGGTTTAGGGTTTGATTTTAGGGTTTCAATTTTAAGGTTTGGGGTTCAAGGTTTTGATTTTAAGGTTTGGGGTTCAAGGTTTTGATTTTAAGGTTTGGAAGGTCTATGTTTCAATTTTAACATATGGGGTTTAGGGTTTTGATTTTAGGGTTTAGAGGGTTTAGGGTTTCAATTTTAGAATTTAGGATTTAAGGTTTTAATTTGAGGGTTTAAAAGGTTTAAGGTTTAAAGAAAACGTGAACATCTTTAAAAATTTTCAACATTTGGGCGAATTTTTTAAGCAAGTTTAATTTTTTATAATTTTCAAAAAATTAAATTTTTATGTATTTTTTTCTTTTCTATTATTATTAATTATTAATTTATTAACTATTATAATAATAATAATAATTATTATTATTATTATTATTATTTTACTTTTAATTTTATTATTATTACTATTTAATAATTCTCCAACATTTGGTAGAATTATTTTTTTTTTAAAAGATGGTTTTTATTCCCTCCATCATCTAAGTAGGAAAAAAAATTTATCACTTTATTCTTATTATTATTTTTTAAAGATTTTGTTAGCATTTTTTTGGCTATTATTCCCTTTTTATTTATTTATTTAATAATTATTATTATAAAACAACAAAAATTTATTTTAGCAAATTTACACATTTTAATATGCATAACTATTAATTTTAAAATTTAAAATAACAAAAATAATATATAAAAAAGTTCAAAAAAAATTTACCTAAACCAGATTGGTCAATGATCTAGTCAACATAGGTTTAGGTCGATCTAGTTGATTCGACGGTTTAGACCAAGTTTCTAGCGGTTCAATATCGATTTGATTGGACTAGTCCTAAGCTGAGTCAGAAGCAGGTTGCGGATTAGGTGCACGGACACCAAGGCAGGTCATAGGTGGCACGCAAATCTTCTTGAGGCCAAAATGATCTGGTTTTGGTCCTTATTGAAACGGCATCATTTTGGCTTTTAGTAGTTTCTATAAAAGCTCAAAAAAAATTTTAGCTCATTTTTTCTGCTTTTTTTTTTCTCTACCTTCTTTTTTCCTCTTAGATACTCTCCCTCTAAACCAATCAGCCAGTGATCGTTTACTGTATCAGCCATCGATTGTCAGTCGGCAGAAAAATCCCAAAAATTCCCAAAACACTCTTCTTAGCCTCCCAAGTCCCAATCTAACCTCTTTTTTTTGCGAGAAAAGGTTGTGAATGATTTAAATTGGGGTTAAAAGTTTTAGCCAAAAATTTTTTTGAATATGCCATTGATGTTATTTGTTTTTTGTAAGGGTTTTGGCACTGATGGTTCCTCCCTTTTAGGGAAGACTGTTTGTAATTTTTTTTGTTTTTTTGTTTTATGATTTTTTTTCTTTTTCTTATGGTTTTTTTAGGGTTGGTTTTTTGGGTTTTTTTTTTTTGGTCTATGTCTAAGTTAGAAGGTACGAGCTTATGAGGCTTGGAGGTGGCTGGGGCAAAGTGTTGATTGAAGATGAAGCCTTGGGTTCAGGGTAATGGATGTGAAAAGGCCCCATATGTTGGTGGAAGGAGTGCTGGGCATGTACGCTTAGGTCAGGACTGGGGCTGGGCTACCACGGATTCGTTTGGCTGGGATTTTGGTAGTTGGTGTGGGAGCATGCAAGAAAATAATGGTATTAAGGTACCCGATGGGAGATGGACATGTGCATGGAGGTGGGGTGAAAGGGTTGGGTTGTTTGGGAGTGTGAAGTATGGTTTTTGGGCATGTGAGACTTGAGGTTTTTGAGTATCCGAGACTTGGGGTTTTTGGGCGTCCGAGAAAACTCTGAAAGGGGAGATAGGTGCTTTATGGGGCTGGACACCTTGGATGGTAAGTGGAGTAGGTGCTTGGCAAGGTATAGGTGCCATGGTAGGGTAAAGTCAATGGCTCTGGGTAGTTTGGGGCATTGGCAAGGTATGGAAGTGGGGCACAGGGCATGGCAGGGGTGGGTGGTGTTAGTGGTGCTATGCACGGCACTAAGCACCAGCCATCTGCCTCTTTTTTTCTATTTTTCTTTTTTGTTTAATTATTTATTTATTATAATATAATTAACAATTTATTTTAATACTAAATTATGAAATCAAAATAAAAATAAAATAAAAAATAAAAAATGAAACAAAAATAATGAACTCAAGTTTGATTTAAAACTGAGGTCTGACTTAAAAATCCAGATAAATTTAGTGTCTACACATCCCAAGTTGGAAAGTTGTAATTTCAAGAATGAAAGACAAATACTCACTATGTTCCTTTAACACATGGTATGTTCTAGAATTCCCTCAACACCTCCCGGAGCTTAGATGGCATCAGTTTCATGGTTGTTCAAGTTCCACAATTTGACATCAAATCTTTGGTGAGTGAATGGTTTCTATAAATTACATTCTTTTGCCTAACTTGAATGGATTCTATAAATGGCAAATGTTATGTTTATTGATTGGGTTTTTTTTTTTCCGTTTCATGATATAGAAGAGAATAAAACCCTGAATTTATCGAATTATAAAGTATATTCACAAGAGGTGGAGAGTTTGATTCTGTTTGCAGGTTCTTAGGAAGCGTAAGAAATATTTTGATAAAATTAAGTCAATTTAATTAATTAATTAAATTAAATTCCATTGATTAAGTTTCATAAAAATAAAAATTTTGATTCGATTAGTAAATATAAAAATAAATTAATTTAATGTGATTTTAATTAATTTAATTTAAAATTAATTGAATCGACTCAGTAAATACTCTTACAATTGAATATGTAAAATTTAAATTTGAAAGAATATTGGATTGACTGATCAAACAAATTGGACCGATTAAACTGGTGATTGGAGGTCCCATCGGTCTGGCCACCGATCCGTTTTTATTCATATTTTTGTATGGTAATTATATATATATATATATAATTACCATACAAAAATATGAATAATGCCACATACACATAAGAACATACATACATATTTACGTGCGCATAACTGTTTTGTAATGGTATTTTTAAAAAATAAAAAAAAATAAGATGATTTTTTTATTTGGTTAAAAAAGTTTATGCTAAAAAATTAATTATACGTGTATATATATATATGTCTATTTTTATGCATATATAACATTTCTCTTTTCAAAAAAACATTGATCATATGCTACTAAGCTTTTTCGTCGTATTCTTAGTTGTAAAATTTAGCTTGCAACAAAGTATATATTAACAATACAAAATCACTTATATTGCCAAAAAAGAAAAAAAAAAACTTTTAGGCTTCTAAAATTTTGATGGAGGTTTATTTCCAGTAATGTACATTAGCTTTGAAATCAATGAAACAAACAAAGCATATGCATATCAATTATCAATATCTTCCCTGTTATGTGTGACTTCTCTAACAGAAATGAAGGGCATTACAAGCACAGTAATATTGACTTTATCAGTCTTTATCTTAATACCAAAAGGATTTTCTTGCTTGATGGCTACACCTATGAAAATTATTAGAACATACAATCCTTGGAGTGTGCCTAAAAAAGTTATGGCATTCTCGAGCGCACATCCATCACTATATCTTGAATTCTGAAATGAAGTAGATTTGTGGTTATATGCACATATATATATATATATATATATGTGGTTCAGGTTTCTTTGAAATCCGAACGCAGGTACGTACAAATAATAACTGTCTACACTGACTGTTTAAAGCTTAAAACAATGAGCAATGGCTGAAGTCAAGCCCCAGGTGTTGGTGGGCTTCCCATTGTCTGCCCATGCATCCATCAACTGGAGGAGAATGCTTGAGGTGTGGGATGACTCTGCGAGAGAGTGAGAGATGGAGACTTGATGGCAACCACATGAGAAACGAAAGCATCCTCAAAGGAGGGGACCGCAGTCCTCGACAGTTTTACAGTAAATTTTAACAGAATAATTGAAAAATATACATGGAGAGACAAAGCAACAAAACAATCTTACTCAAGATATAAGACAGAAACGAGAAAACCCCTTTGCCCACCCACCCCTGGCAGGGCCATGAGGAATCCTTCAATTTGACAAATAACCAATAAGAATTCAGGGATAGGATGTACTTGAAAATTTCAGCCAATAAACACTAAAATCAGCCCAACTTTTGGGTCCCAAAGAGACCAATTCAGAGTTTGAACCCCCCCCCCCCCCCTCTTTGGCAAGCCACCAAAAAGAGAATGGGCTACATACTCTTACAGCATGACACTCTGAACCCCAATAATTGAACCACTCAAAATAAATAGATGCTAGTTACCCAATATTCCTTTGTAAAGACACCTTGCATTTTCAGTTTGTTTCTTTTGTTGAGTTAATTCCTAACTTAAAGAATTTGTTTTTCTGTCTATCCAATAATCTCTGACAAGAGAGCAGCGAATGCCATGGGAGGCAAGACGGCTACAGCCTGTGATGGTTGTTTGCGAAAGCGTGCACGTTGGTATTGTGCAGCTGATGATGCCTTTCTTTGCCAAGGTTGTGATACATCAGTCCACTCTGCTAATCAGTTAGCCAGCAGACATGAGAGGGTTAGGTTTGAAACTGCATCCTCTAGGTTCAATGTTTCAGTAATGAACAGTACTAATAATCAAGATGCTCCACCAGCATGGCACCAGGGTTTCACTCGAAAGGCAAGAACACCAAGGCAAAACAAGTCCATGTTGGGGAAACAAAAAGGTGATGGTAAAGTATTGAATTTGAATCCTCTTGATCCGCTTGTTCCTGAGATTGGTAGTGAAGACGGGTCAGTTGATGAGAACGAAGAGCAGCTGCTTTCCAGAGTCCCAGTTTACAATCCTTTTGCTTCAGAATTATCTAATATAGTAACTGGCGATGGTGATGAAGATGGGAATTTAGAAGTTGACGGTTATGAACATGAAGGAACATGCGAGTTGGATGATGGTTTACATGGTTTTTTAGCATCAGATTTGGATCTTACCGAGTTTGCTGCTGATGTTGAGAGCTTACTAGAAGTTGGAGCTGAAGAGGATACTTGTTGTGACATCAAAGGACCTGAATTGTTAGATTGCAAACAGAAACATGAAAGTAATGCATTTCATGAACGCAAAATAATGAAAGTTAAAGATGAAGAAGAGGAAAGTATAACAGCTTGTTGCTTTGATTCTTCTTTTGATGTGACAAGAGCATCCTTAAACGGGAGTTTTGATTACGAGTCACCCACGATTGGTGAGGAGGAAGAGGTGAAGGTGGTTCCTGTGGTGGAGACAACAATAATGAATGGTGAAAGTAAGGCAGAGAAGAAGAGGAACATGTTGCTGAGGCTGAATTATGAGTCAGTTATCACTGCTTGGGCCAGCCAAGGCTCTTCTTGGACAACAGGAAGCCGACCAGAATTTAACCCTGATGACTTCATGGTACTCTATATATCTATCTATTTATATAAAAGGAGAAGGGATCTATATCTATATCTATATCTATATATATAGAGATATAGATCCCTTCTCCTTTTATATAAATAGATAGATATATATATAGATATAGATATAGATATATAGATATAGATCCCTTCTCCTTTTATATAAATAGATATATCTATATATATAGATATATAGATATAGATCCCTTCTCCTTTTATATAAATAGATAGATATATATATAGATATAGATATAGATATATAGATATAGATCCCTTCTCCTTTTATATAAATAGATATATCTATTTATATAAAAGGAGAAGGGATCTATTTACATTAGTGTAAGTCTTACTATATTTACCTGCCTTAACTTCTTAGCATGTATACTTGCAGCAGGAGAGTTCAAAAAGTTCAAACTGATTCTTTGCTAATGTTAAACATCACGATTATATATATTGCCAATTCTATGCAGGAAATTCATTCATAATGTAAAATTTGAATCTATGTAATAAGTAATTACACCAGTACTTTTCATTGATATATATGCCTAATTATGTTTGGCAGTCACTCCAGGGCTCAAATCCTAAAGATGGTCATCATGATTTGAATGGAGGCATAGGGGGAATATACAGCCAGGCAAGAGGGAATCATACAGATGGAGAAAGAGAAGCAAGAGTATCAAGGTACAAAGAGAAGCGAAGAATGAGACTGTTTTCGAAGAAGATAAGGTATGAAGTGAGGAAGCTGAATGCGGAGCAAAGGCCTAGAATGAAAGGCAGGTTTGTTAAGAGGACTTCCTTTGTGGGGACTGCTTCTCCTTAAATCAATTAATTAATAACTGTTGAACTGCATGCCAAATCTTACTGTTTGTTTCTTTGCAAGAATTGGATTAATTAGGGTAGTTGTCCTAATTCAATTGTTAAACCTCTATCGCTTGAAGCTACCATGCTAATTAACTGAATTATGCTGTAAATTGTAGTCAAGTAATTTCTGCTTTCTTTCAATGTTCTGCATGGGATAAATTGAAGAGTTTATTTCATTTCTCCAGATGATTACAAGAGCACATGTATTTGACAAATTAATTTAATTCATTTTTTTATGTTAAATAGCAGACATGTTTATTCTTGATGAACATGGCTGTTAATTTGACAAATTAATCTACTTGGTGAAGTTTAATGACTTGATTCAACTTATATATGTACCAAGGAAGAAGAATGCATAAAATCTGTGACCAATTGATTATGAATAGCCTCAACACTGAGCCTTCATTAATTCTTTTTTGCCACATCTACACAGCAGGAGACCAGCAAGGAAATCAAGTCTATTAGTTTGTAAAATGGAATTGGCTTAACTATATTGGACAAGAATTCTGTGACAATTCCTGTGCTATCAAAAAAATTAAGTATTTTGGCTAATTGATGAACAATTTATTGGACTAAATCCCCATAAAAAACATGTATCTGACTCTTCAAGTTAATATCAACCTAAGCTTCGAAACATGTGACATACCAACAATCAAAATTTTTAATTTTTACTCTAATATTCTTGGTCAATCAGTCTCTTATAATACTGACAGTGCCAATGCATGGTATATTTTTTATTGCTATTTCTTATTTACAATAAATTTCAGTATTGAAGGGATTATGTTGATAACTTTATATATATATATATAGTGTAGTGTTGTGTGTTGTGTGTATCAATAGCTCTGAGTGTCTTATAGAAGCAATTAGCAGTAAGCATCATTGATATATTTTCACGATTAAGCCATTCAACATTGATGTTTTGCAGGAAAATAAAAAATAAAAAATAAAAAATTAAAAAAAACAAGAATTAAAGCAGCAACCTTTAACATTTAGGTTTCTCCTTCTTTTTTTATCTATTTATCTTCTTTATAAAATATAATTCCTTGTCAAATGATGAAGGCGAACAATCATCAAATACAAGAATAAAATTTCTATTGCAAATTGAAGTTAACCGTCCATTCATATTTCTAGACACCATGAATATTATTGCATGTCACATTTAGTTGGTTCAAGGTCAACCCTTTAATTATTTAATTTAATAATTTACTTGTACATGAAATGGACTAATTCTCAATTGCAAACGCACTGGACCATCCTTGCCTGCCAATTTGCTATGCTAGGGCTCAAACTTTTTTTCAACCAAAATAATTTATATTAATAGTTGATGTGTAGTATTCTGCCCAGCATGATCAAGAAATTGTATTATATATGTGCTTATATCTAGAACTTGATGCAATAAACAAATAAACTGCTCATAAATTTCTGGCCAAAAAAAAAAAATGAAGCTGCTTATAAATAAGTTACTGCAAAAGAAAACTGATCAAAGTCTTACTGCTTGATCAAATGATATAATAAGATTTATATACTTGAAGTTCCATTTTAATGCATCCTCGAGTAAGCAATTTCATATTAATAGCAAAACTTTGCATGTGCATGACTCAAGTATGTTCACGTATTTACGGTTCAAAGAATTGAGTTCAAATTTTTTTTATCTCTAAATTAAAAGAAAAAAAAACTTTTTTTATTTCAAAGAAAAAAAAAAAACTTTACACGGGCAATTGAGTCCTCCTTTCACAAGTGGTCAAAAAACTTTTTTGGGTCCAAAACTTAATTAAAATCATAAGACAATTTTCAGAGAACGACACTATATAATATACAATAAATATATATTGCCCTATAATTTTGGCAGTCATATATATATATATATATATATATATAATATGAAACATTAGTCATTTATGGCGTGGAGAAGTTTCAACTCCTTATGGAAATGATATGTCGACTTGTCATCCTCAATGTTTTGTCTCATTGAGTTTTTCTGGCATTTTATAATTTCATTTTATCTAATTTCATTACTTATATTTTTGTCAAATAAAAAAAAAGGGAAAGAAATAAAGAAAGGCAATAAAACGATGCATTGCCCTCTTTTTCCTTCTTTCGACTTTTTTTTTTTTTTTGGTAGGCTAGTTGATAGCTAGTTGGGTTAGACCTTAGCCAACAAATTGTGGTTGCACCAAACTGTTCAATTTTGCCCAATTTTAGACTTATTTGGTACCACATCTCTTGTAAGACAGATTTTCTTATTTTTGTCAAATTATGTTATTAATCCCATACTTATCTAAAATTTAATTCATATGATATAATTTATATAAATATAATGGTCATTACCCTCTCTCCTCAAAACCGGCTTACCAAGATATGCAACATCAACGTTTTTATACCTCATTTTATATTCGATGTGAGATTAGAGTATCCTGCCTACTCTCCCTTGAAGCATTTTGCGTAACATTCTCCCCCATCCAACCCCGTGACGTCATTGTCAAAAAGGCTAACCACCCCACCTACCTCCTTCAAAAAGCTTGGCATGGGTTGAACGGTCTAGAACCTGCTTTGATATCACTTGTCACAGGCCAAAACTTAAGTTTCAAGCTCGCACGGCTCCAGGACCTTGGCATGGACTTATCCGACATCCTAGATCAGCTTAATTATCATGGTTCACACCAACTTGTGAGGTATTATCCACTTCGGCCCCATTGACCTCACGGTTTTGTCCCACAAAAGGCACCTCACAAGTTGAAGGTGGTGTGAACCCTTATATCCCAAGACCAACTCTAGTACACAACTGATGTAAGATTCATGGCTCTTCCATAAGACCTTGACATCCTCTCTCATTCCAACGAAAGCCTACCGTCCTCAATGGTATATCGTTAGTATCTCTAAAGCTGACTCTGATATCACTTCTCACATTGCCATTACTTTTTCCTCTCAAAATCGACTTATTAGGATGTGCAATGCCAATATTTTTATACCCAAGTGACTCTCCTTTCATATTTGATATGAAATTGGAGTACCCTACCTACTCCCTTTGGAGCACTTGGCGTAACATTAAAATTTTATTTCAATTATTAACTCTATTAAATTTTTTTATTAAAAATGCTAACATGATTATTAACTTATTAATATAGTGGTCGACTTTGCTGACATGATGATTTAATAGGTTATTAAAAAAATATGATGACATGGATTTATTGAAATGCCATGTGACATATCAATAAATCCATATCATATTTTTTAATAAATATAATTTTTAAATTTTATTAATTGAAAAAATAATTACTTAAAAAACAATGACCCAGAAAAACCAAATTTCCTAATAAAAAATTCCAACTTACTTGTCCCAAAAAATCTTTCAACAATCAAAACTAAAAAATCATACAACCTAGATTTTGACAATCAATTGTCAAGCAACGATGCCAAAATGCTATCAAAATCTACCCAAAATCTCCCTTAAATATTTTCTACATAACTATCAGATTAGATTTTTCCAAAAATCTTTTTTTTTGTTTCATTAAAAATAAAAAAAAATTCAAATCCTAAAAACTTAGATATACCTAATACCTTCTAAAGATAATGGTCAACTGCTTCTGTACATAATAGAAGTTGGTAAAAGAGTTGAATATGTTGTAAAATAGAAATTAGAGAAAGAAGAAGATAGTAGAAAAGATAGAGAGTAAAATTTAAGAATATTGTAATTGTATTCCTTTATGATATTTCATTTATTCTTTTAAAAATGCATTTTGTGCCATCTCCAAGAATTACACTAATAGCTAGTCATTTGTAAACTCAAGCACAGCAAAGTAACTAACTAGTTAAATTCTTTTAGTTGAAAAAATAACTACTAGGCTTACTTTTACTATGTACTAGCTATGTGACCAAACCAACTTGACCCAACATTCTATTGCTGCATGGCCCAACACTTTATTACTACATTGACTCGTAACACTGCCCTTCCCTTGAAACAATCCCTATCCTCAAAGATTGAAAGATGGAAATTTGTTAAGCAGCTCATATAAACTTTCCCAAGTTATATCCTACAAGAAACAATTACTCCAATGCACCAATACTTTTTTTATTGCCTTTTCTTGTTTCTTATTCAACCTTCTTTCCAAGATTGCAACGGGTTTTTAGGCTATCACCCCACTTGCATCCAACAATGACAAATGATGTTATGCAAAAACCTTCCTAATATGTTTTTTTAGCTGAGACACATGGAAACATGATGAATTACTGCTTTTAAAGGCAACTAAAATCTATAAGCTACTAATCCAATCTTTTCTATTATCTTGTAAGGCCTACAAAATTTCGTTGCTAATTTTAAACAAGATATGTGCTTGACTAAATTTTGCCTGTAGGGCTGCAACTTAACATAAACTATGTCTTCTATAGTAAATTGCCTGTCAGTTTGATATTTGTCAGCCTATTGCTTCATCATGCTCTTTGCTCTGTCTAAGTGAAACTTCAAGAGTTTGATCATGCCTCCCTTGCCTGAAAACTTCTGTCTACCTCTACAACCTTAGAATCACTAGGTAAGTATGGCATATGAGTGAGGGTAGGTTATCCATCTACCACTTTATATGGGTAGTGTGTATAAGGGAATGGTAGCTGGTATTATACCACCATTCGGCTAAAGAAATTCACTTAGACCACTCCTTAGGCTTTTCCCCCAACATGCACCTCAAGTATGTCTCCAAACATTTGTTAACAACTTCTGACTAACTATCCATTTAGGGTAAGTATGCAGTGGACATTTTTAGTTTAGTTCCCAACAACTTGAATAATTCTTTCCAAAATAAACTGGTAAAGACCTTATCTTTGTTTGATACTATAGTATTAGGCATACCATGTAACTTATATATATTATCCAAATAAGCTTGAGCTATTATGACAGCATTATATGGATGAGATAACGTGATGAAATGAGTATATTTGCTTAGTCGATCAAACACCACCATGATGACATCCTTACCAAATGACTTAGAAAGTTTTTCAATGAAATCCATAAAAACGTTAGTCCATATTTTGTTAGGAATAGATAGAGGTTACAATAATCTTGGACAGGCAGCTATATCATACTTACACTGCTGACAAGTTTGATATTCTTTGACAAATTGCCTAACTTTCTTTTTTATACCCTTCTAGTAAATTACACTAGCAATTCTCCTCATAGTTGTTTTCACACTAGAGTGACCCTTATCTATTGAATTATGAAAATAATGTAGTAGATTATATTGTAGTTATTGGTC